TACGCCCAAAGGGCCATATCCCAGAGATCATACAAATGGGAAAAGGACCCACATGTACAAAAAGAGTGATAGCAGCTCTTTTTGTGGTGGCCAAGAATTGGAAATTGAGAGGATGCCCATCAGTTGGGGAATAGCTGAACAAGCTGTGGTATATGATTGTAATGGAATACTATTGTGCTATAGGAAATGATGAACAGGCTGACTTCAGAAAAACCTGGAAAGACGTGTATGGTCTGATGCTGAGTGAAATGAACAGAATCAAGAGAACGTTGTACACAATAACAGCCACATTGTGTGATGACTAATATTGATAAACTTAACCCTTCCCCAGCAATACAAGGATCTAAGACATCTCCATTGGCCTCATGATGGAAAATCCTATCCACATCCAAAGAACTATGAAAGTTGAATTGCTATTTTTTTTCTCTTCTGTTGAGTTTTGTTTCCTCTTTCTGATGGTTCCTCCTATTGGTTTTAATTTTTACTTACAACACCACTAATGTGAAAATATGTTTAACAGGAATGTAAATGTATAGCCTATATCAGATTGTGCGCTGTCTTGGGGAGGGTAGTGGGGAAGAAGGGGGAGAAAAATCTTAAACTTAAAAGCATATGAAAGTGATTATTGATAAATCAAAATAAATTAATAACATTTTTAAAAAAACGGTGAGAATGCAGAAAACTTTGCTACTTTGCACTCACAAGTTGCAACCTTTCTAAAGCCAACTTCCACAAGCAAACTTCGAGTCTTTACTAAGGTAAGCTGCCATATTTAATGTATATCTTCTGGTGCTGTAGGAGCTGTGGGCAAGAGACTAGATCTGAACCCTCTAAATACACACTTTCCATCACTGTGCTACCATTTTTATTACGCTCCTATCTTTTCTTTGTCACTGATGAAGTTTTTTAAGTTGCACCACTGACCCTTATTTTTTCCCATAAATGCTGTGGTTTTTTATTAATTTTGTATAGTGTACTGCTTTTCTGCATATGTCCCATTACATCTGGACTATACTTAATCCTCTCCATTTCTCCTGGGTTATCTGAACCTTCTTTTGACATACCATTATGGGCCATCATTCTGATGCATAGATTATCACAGGAAATACTTTGGAGTTTAACATTAAACTCAACACAAGTAGGGTAAGGAATAGCATGAGAGCACCTAGCCGCCTTTTGAGTTCACTTGACCCAGATGAACCACATCTGTAGGCACTGAAAGAACAGGTAACTGTGACTGCTGAGCTACTCACTGTCAAGTGCTCTTTGATAGAAGGCAGAAAACAGAAAAGTTTCCACGACTGGGAAAGACCAAATGTTCCCACAATCTTCAAAGACAGGAAGGAAATGTGGCCTACAAAGTACAGGCTGCTGAGTTTGACTGTGATGCTTGGCAATATTCTTAAACAAAAGATTAAAGGGATGATTTTGACATTTGACAGTTTCTCATGCTATTCTTGCACAGAACATGAAAAGATGTAGGATAGATGATATTATAGTTAGATGGATCTAGAATCAGAGGCAGCTGGTGGCAGAATGGATAGAGTTCTGGGCCTGGAGGCAGGAAGAACTGAGTTTAAATCTGACACTTGATGTGACCCTGGTAAAATAACTTCAGTTTCCTCAAATGTAAAATGGGATTATATGCCTACTTCAAAAGGTTGTGGTGAGGATTGAATAAGATATTTGTAAAAAGTACTTAGCATAATAGGTGCTTAAGAAATGCTAATTCCCTCCCTAATTGAAATGGCCAAGTCAATTTGGAAGGTCTCCAGTGGGATGTCTTGCTCAAGGATCTATACTTGGCCCTGAACAGTTTAATATTCTTTATCAGTGGCAGATAATATGCTTACTAAATCTGCATATGATGTAAAGTTGAAAGATGACATAATTAAAATCTTAAACAAACCAAACTACAGCAAACTATATGAGGTCTCCATCTCCACACTGCCTATCTAACTACATGTCAGTCCAGATAAAAAACATTTTCTCATACATTTGGTTTTTCATCTGCAGATTTGTAAGTGGATTTTTTTTATGTAAGTAATGAATCTCACTGAAGAAATTCTGTCATGTTCTGGGTCTTGATACAATACATAAAATGACATTAAAAAAAACCCCAAACCAATAACATCTGGGGAACCTCAACACTTTAGGAAATCCCCCTTGCATTTGGACTTTAAACTGGACATGCTCCATGAGAGTGGTGAACATCTTTCAAAAGCCTATCTTTCTGTTTTATGCCTTTAATAGATATTTTATTGTTATCAAGGCACGAAAAAAAAATGAAGTTTACAGACCAAAATTTAATTCCAGGATGAAGCAGTTAAATAAATTCTACAAAGAATTTGACAAAAAATTCTAAACCAAGTCAAAAAATAAACCACCACTCAGGGACTTCAATGAGAAAGAAAGTCAGCATAGGAGATTATGGCAAAAATATATTGGAAACTATGATCCAAGATTAAGAAACAAAAGAGGAAGGACTGACGATGAAAGCCGCTACTCCTCTCTTGACAGAGAGGTGATGGAGAAATATGCTGAATAAAATATACATTTTAGGGCATGGCTAATATGGGAATTTACTTTGAGTGCGCATGTTTGTTATTAAAGTTTTTGCTTTTCTTTTTTTAGTGAGGGAGACGTGGAAGGGGAAAAATTAATGCTTAATAATTAAGAAGCCCCCCCATTCATGACACACCTGACAAGTGGTCAATCATCAAGAAGCATTTACAGTCTACAATGTGCTAGCAACTGGTCATTCAGCTTTTGTTTGAAGACATGGCTAGAAAGCAACCAATGGCAAAAAATAATCTAGGATGAGCAGATTGTAAGCTGAGTCAATAACATGATGCATCAAGAAAGAGTGATCTTGCTGAACGCTGCTTCCAACAGACCACAATTGGAATATCAGGTCCAGCTCAAGTAATACATTTAAGAAGCAAAACTGATAAGCGACTTCACAACAACAACAACAAAGGAACCAGGACAGACTACAAATTATGAAAAGTGAGAACTAGCTGAAGAAAATGGGGTTAAACATGGGAAGAAAAAACACTGGGGGGTGGGGGGAGAAGAAGAGCACGACAGCAGTTTCCAAATATTTGGAGGGTTACCACCTAGATGAGGGATTGGACTTTTTGGCCCTTGAGAGCAGAAAAAAGTGCCAGTTGATAGAAGCTACAGAGATATAGAATTACGGTCTCAGAAAAGGAAGGTACCACAGAATCCATCTATTCAAGGGGTGGGGAACCTGTGGCCTTCAAGGCTCTATGTGGCCCTCTAGGTCCTTAAGCGTTGCCCTTCGACTGAATTCCAACTTCACACAACAAATCCCCTTAATAAAAGGATCTGTTCTGTAAAACTTGGGCTCAGTCAAAAGGCTGCACCCAAGGACCATTCTATTCTAACTCAAACCCGAAAAAGAATCTTTCCTCAGCGTACCCAAAGAGGGATCATTCGTCTTTTGCCAGCTCTCAGTGTGAGGGAATCCACTACTCTGAAACCAATACATCAGTATTGTGGAGAGCTCTGTTGGAAAGCTCTCCCTAAGCCAAGCCTGGACTGGTCTCCATCACCTTTACCCACTGCTCCTAGTTCTGTCCTCTAGAGCCAAGCAGATTTAGGTTTAAGCCAACTTCCACACAGCACCCACCCTTCAAATGCCTGAACACAGGAATCACGTTCCCACCTCTTCCCAGTTCTCTCTGTGCCCAGCTAAGCATTCTCACTTCCTTGAAGTGAATCTCACCACCCAGGTTACTTTCCTTAATGTTTCTCCTAAAATAATAGTACCTAGAATGGAATACAATATTCCAGATAGAGTATGACCAGAGAAGAGAACAAGAGGATAAACATCTTCCTATTCTTGAACATTATGTCCCCTCAATGAACCCTAAATTACATTCCTTAATCAACACATTATCACACTGTTGGCTCAGTAAGCCTATAGTTCATTAAAACCCTCAGATCTGTTGCTGAGTTGAGATCAAGGGTTCTTAATTTGAGATCTGTAAATTTTTTTTTCTTTTTTCTTTGTTTTTGTTTTTATTTGGCTAGGCAATGGGGTTAAGTGACTTGCCCAAGGTCACACAGCTATTAAGTGTTATGTGTCTGAGGCCAGATTTGAACTCAGGTCCTCCTGACTCCAGGGCCAGTGCTCTATCCACTGTGCCACCTAGCTGCCCCCCAAGATCTGTAAATTTTTAAAAAATATTTTGATTACTACATTTCGATATAATTTCATTTCCTTTGTAATCCTATATACATTTTATGCATTAAAAAATATTCTGAACAGTCTAGGCTTCAAACTGCCAAAGGTAATCATTACACAAAAAAGGTTAAGAACTCCTGGTTGAGATAAACTGCTAACCATGCTTCTACCTTGTATTTGTGAAGATGATTTTTCTCAACCATAATGTAAGACTATATTTATTCCTATACTTGGTCAAATATGCTAGCCGGTCAAACTTTTTAAACACTGAATCTCTGGTGAATTTATAACAATGGCATTTATGGCTTTATTCAAGCCAGTGATTTCAAAAAATACTAACAATAAAGAACCACACAGAGCTCTGGGAGTGCTCCTTTGTAAATCTCCTTCCAAGCTGAAGGTGAATCATTAATGACTACTCTTGAGGTTCTGCCATTCATCTAGTTTAGAACCACCTAATTATACTACAGAATCATATAACCCACCTCTCTCCATATCTGCAATAAAATCAACAGGAGAGACTCCTAACTCTTACACTTATGACTACAGGCAAGTCACTTGAGTTCTCTGAATTTGTTTCCTCATTTGTAACACGGTGATAATAATGCCTGATTACCAACCCCCACTCCCCTCAATACTCCCAGTTTTGCTGTGAGGTTCAAATGAAGTATATGCAAAACAACTTTTGAACTTTAAATAGCTATAGAAATGTCAGCTATTATGATTTACCAATCAAATATCACACTTGCAAATAAATTCTTAAATTTTATAAAGAATTCAGAAGTTCTAATTTATAAAGGCTCATAAGCTTCAATTTCTTAAGAAAAAAATGTCCCTGGATATAATCCCTTAAAACAAAAACCCCAATTTATATATGGGTCTATTTTTAAAGTTAAAGCTTAGGACTGAAAAATAAAAATAAGGTTTAAAATTTAGTGTCTAATCAATAAAAGTCATAATATTAGAGATGGCAAAGAAACAACTCTTTTGGTCCAATCCTCTCATTTACAGGTTAGAATACTCAGGTCAGTGACAGCTAAAAGTCCAATTCAAATCCCACCCCCATAAAACCATTTCCTGTCCTTCTTAATCCACAATGTTCTCTCCTTACCCTCATCTCCTATAATAGCCTGTAGATGTACTCCCTTTACATAGCACTTATCACAGGCTAATTATGGTATCATAATAACAATTGTATTATTTAATATATGACCCATCTCTCCCCCCTCCCCACCTCCATCATAAACTCGAGGAAAAGGACAGTATCGTATCTCTTTGTATCCTAACCACATGACAATGTCTTTCGCTTAGTAGTGTTCAATAAATGCTGATAAATTACAAATTATTTTGGTTACTGGGTTATTTCTCTGTATTTTTTCAATTAGAATTTATGTTGTATAGAATTGAATGAACCATGTAAAGCAGAGAGAAAAATTTTGAAATGCACCATAGGCAGAGTTATGGTGGACAAAACACTAAGCCAAGACAGAAGACATGGACTCTAGCACTGACTTAGTCCCCTGACTCTGCCCTCCTGACTCCAATTCTAGCTATCTATCCACAATACTATCTTGCTAGAATTTTCCCCCACAGTCATCTTAATTGCATATTTACAAAGCTAATTATAAAGTAGCAACAGCATTTTGTTGATTATTGGCTAGAGTAGCAGTGAAATTTAACAACCACTCATTTAAAATTATCTTATCCCTCAAGCTAGAGGAAACAGTTAAGTTATGAGGACAACCTTAAAGACACTAGAAATTATATAACACGATTTAAGATGAATGTAGCAAGTTTCAAGATATTTTGATGCAAAGTTTTCTAGTTCACAAGTTCCTATAACAGTTATTTATTTAAATTAAATAAATGTGCAGCAGTTACAAATGGTTAGCTAACCTCATCTTTTGCACAAACATACTTATTAAAAATGTTTTGAAAATTAACGTCTTGATAGATTCTTTTGACGTGATTACTTCTTATTCCATTCTTCTCTCTCTTTTCTTTCACGTATAACCTCCTTCAGATACGGTTGAAGGTATAATTTGTCCTAAAGAAAAAAGTGTCAAGATACTATGTTATATGCTGTGATTATCAGTTTTACATATGCAATTTCTCTGAATTACTAACAAAGAATTCACTGAAACAATTACTTTTTCTAGCTCCAAATCAAGAGAAAACATTTTGAATTTAAAAACTCAGAAATACCAGATTTTCCCCCACAAAGATCTTTTTCAAAAATGGTTTTGCCAATTTATGGGAATAAATGCTGACACGAAGAGAAAGGCTTGTCCTGAAATTCCAATTTTTGGAGACCAGACTGCACTTAGCCTCATTCTAGAAAGTGAAAGTAGCCAAAACACTCAAAAAGAATCCAGTTTTATTGTCATCTCTAGTTCAAAGAATTACAGAGACACAATCTGACAGACTGACTTACACAGTCATCTTTTCCCCCCTAACAATTCCTAATAGTCAGAATTCTGTTATATGAAACGCTTTATACCTCTTCATATTTTGTCCACTGGTTTTTAGGCAGTATCTGATGCCTTATGGTCAGATCCAGAGCTCTCTTGATACGAAACATTCGATCATTATACATATTCTCTGGAAGCCTCCTTATGGCCTCTTTAACATCTTCATCTTCATAAAGTATGTCATCACGCATTAACCCTATTAACAGGAAGAGTAGATGAAAGAGCTGAATTGGACATTTTTTAAAAAACAAAAACTGCTGCAATTTTTTAAGTCATGGAAACATCTCAGAACAGACATTACAGTTTAATGTGAAGGGTCAAGAAGTAAAATCTATCGATGATTTGGTAACTATAGCTCAATTACTATTTGCTTTGAGGCAAAAAGTACAAAAGCATAAAATAAATGTACAAAGCAAGTTTTCATTAAATAGTTGGTAAACTAAAGTGAAATTTAGGCAGGGACATGTTATATAAAAATGGTTTGGTAAATCGAGAAACAAATGATCATTTAGATCTACTGATACAAAATTTATGGCATTTTACTAAATTTAGTTTTTCATCCTAACCTTTTTATCCTCTACAATGATCTCGCTACAATGCCTTATGGTAGCTAGTAGTCAAACTTAGGTTCTCAAAGACTATGTCAGCAGAGTGAAAGTTCTAAAGATTCCACCAAGCTAGAAAGGCTTTCTGAACAGTTCCAGTGACCTGATGGCATCTTCTCTCTAAGGACCAGGAGAGTAAGTAAAAACAGTATGTTGATCACTAGGTGATGAATACTTTGGTCAATCACAGCAACCCATAAAAAAGAGAAAAATTTTAGATGGTCCTTAGTATTATGAAGCCCCTTTCTGCTTCCTCTGTGACAGGGTGGCAGAAATAGGTCAGACAGTACCAATAATTACAGTTTTTTTGATGTTCTGTAAACACAAGTTTAACTGTTCATACTCTGATGTGAAACTTTAATCCAATGACTATGATTCTAAGTTATTATACTACTTAAAATATAATGTTAACAATTCTCTATAAACGAAACCAAAAGACAGAAAATTATAGCTAAAGGGAAAGATGGCTAATGGCATCTTCTTGAGGAAGCAAGTAATGAAACCTGATCATGTCCTCAAAGGCAACAACAACAAAAAAAATAAAATAAACACTTCATGTTATATAATCACCTCATACTCTTGCACTGCTCATGAAAAGAAAATGTTAAATTAAATTTGGGACTAAGAAATTAAAAAGTCCAAAGAATGAATTTTTTCAATATATCAGTCAGTTGCAGCTTTTATTTTTCCTCTCCAAAAAATGCTATTTGTCATGAGATGACTCTAGGAAGGGAGAGGAGAAGGATTCATGGGATATTATGGTGATGTAAGAAACAGAAAATATTAATAAGAACAAAGAAAAAGAAAGAAAATGGCCAAAGATTTGTGGATTACACAGAAGCTTCATACTTGTATCTAACGAGTATATTTTTTTCCAAGAAGAGTTGGAAAGTGTTCAACATTATAAACACTAAACAATATATTTTTTAAAAAATTTAAATTGACCAATTCCTGGGTGCCAATCCAGGAGTTATTTCAGAATTGGTTTTTACATGCAGTCAGAATGACTAGTTAAAGCAAAGATCAAAATCAAATCCAAATTAGAAAGATAAAGGAGAAGACATTGTTTTCAATTACAACTCCAACCCAATCTTTTTTTAATAAGCTGCTGACTGAAAAATGAAAACACAAATGTAAAAACACACACTGATTATCATATGCCTACAGAAGTTTAACCAAACTACTGTCATAGTCAAAGACCTCAGAAATCTTCTCAGGCAGCAAATTTTGCTTTCCATGCCAAACGAGAGCCATGGCAGTCATGAATAACATTGGTTTAGGGCACAATCTCTTTTGCAGAAGGTTATGGAAATAGAGAACTACATCTATCCTGAGAAAACAGGGAAGCAGTAGAGAAGAAAATAAGCATGCAAAAAGCTTTGCGTGAAATCCAACTAAGAAAAATCATCCTAGACTTCTACTTCCAAGAGCCAAGACGGCTGAGTAAGAAATAAGTTACTCTCACTCTTTTATTGACCTCTGAAAGCCTAGAAAATACTGCTCCAGGAAAATCCCTGGAACAGCTGAACCAGACTACTGTCTTGTAGCACAGAAAGCTTGGGGGATTAATGGAAAAGGCCCCTCTCACTCTGGGGGCGGAGGAGCAGTACAGAATGGCAGGAACCCCAGCAAGCCCCACCTTAGCATACCAAGAGGAGGTCCTGAGCCCCAGAGTGGTAGAGCAGCCAAGTGCCAACATAAGGATCCTTGAGTACCTCAGTACAGGCAGGGGAACCTGTAGACACCAGCTTGGAAAACCACCACAGATGATGGTGTTCTCCAGAAGCCAAACACTCCAGTGCGAGGCCTGGGTGAGCAAGTGTTCCCTGAGGGGCAGATTCCCCACCCTTATCCCTAGAGCTCCACTGCTGCTGACCATAGCCCACCACCAAGTAAGCTGCCAGAACCCTACGGCCTCCAACTGCCAGCACCTGAGGCCCCAGTACATAAAGCCAGTGATCAGGTCCTGGACTCCCAGCACAAGAAGAATGGGTCAGCGCTCCCTGCACTCTAGCAGGAGAGCTCAACTTTTTTTTTTTTAAAGTCAGGAAATAAGCAAACACCAAGAGCAAAAAGCAAAAACAGACAATGACCACGGATTCTTATTATAGGGAAAGGGAAGATCAAGGCACAAATTCAGCAAAAGGACAACATTATTAATATACCCACATCCAAAACCTCAAAAGGGAATATTAGCTGGTCTCAAGCTCTAAAAGCCTTCTTGGAAAAGCTCAAGAAGGATTTTAAAAATCATACAAGAGAGATAGAAGAAAAATTGTGAAAAGAAAGGAGAGGTATGCAACAGAGAGAATCAATAGCTTGGAAAAGGACAAAAATTAGAAATTTTAATTAGAAATTAGTAGAAAACAAGTCCTTAAAAATACAACTGGCCAAATGGAAAAAAAGTATACTGAAGAAAATAACTCCTTAAAAAGCAGAATTGGCAAAGGGGCAGCTAGGTGGTATAGTGGATAGGGCACCAGCCCTGAAGTCAGGAGGACCTGAGTTCAAATCCAGCTTCAGAGACATAACACTCACTAGCTGTGTGACTCTGGGCAAGTCACTTAACCCCAAATGCCTCACCAAAAAAAAAAAAGTAGAATTGGCTAAATAGAAAAGAAGGACCAAAAACTCACTAAGAAGAAGAATTCTTTAAAAAGTTTTTAAAATGGGCCAAATGGAAAAGGAGGTACAAAATGTAATAGAAGAAAACTATTTCTTATAAATCAGAACTGGGCAAGTGGAAACTAATGACTCCATGAGAGAGCTAGAATCAGTCAAACAGAAAAAAAAGAATGAAAAAATAGAAGAAAACCTAAAATACCTCATTGGTAAAACAACTGACCTAGAAAACAGACTCAGGAGAGACAATTTAAAAATTATTGGTCTACCTAAAAACCATGACGAAAAAGAGCCTGGACAGAATCTTTCAGGAAATCATCAAGGAAAACCACCCCAAGGTCCTAGAACCAGAGAGTAAAATAGCCATCGAAAAAATCCACTGATTAACTGATCACCTCCTGAAAGAGATTCCAAATTAAAAATACCAAGGAATATTGTAGCCAATTTTACCAGGTCAAAGAGAAAATACTGCAAACAGCCAGAAATAAACCAATTTAAATAACATGTAACCACAGTCAGGATTACACAGGACCTTGCAGCTTCTACAGTAAAAGATCCGAGGAGTATGGAATACAACATTCCGTAAGGCAAAGGAACTTGGATTACAACCAGGGATCAACTACCCAGCGAAACTGAGCATAATCTTTCAGGGGAGGAGATAGACATTCAACAAAATAGGGGACTTCCAAAACTTCCTGATGAAAAGACCAGAGCTCAACAGAAAATTTGATCTTCAAATACAAGACTCAAGAGAGGCATAAAAAGGCAAACAGGACAGAAAAAAACTAATATGTTATTAGTAAGGGCAAACTGTTTACATCCCTACAAGTGAAGATTACACTTGTAACTCTTGAGAAACTGTATTGTTATGCCATTTAAAAGGGGTATACATAGCAGAGGGGATGGGTATAAAAGGACTTTGATGTGATGATAAAAATAATCTAATAATTAAGTGGATTAAGTGGATCTAATTAAGTGGATTATACCAGGAGAAAAGGAAAAGAGGTACAAAAACCTATTCAGTAGAGGGAAAGAATGGCATTGTTTGAACCTTACCCTCATCAGATTTGGTTAAAGAGGGAATAACATAATCAGTTGGGTACAGAAATCTAACTCATCGTATAGAAAGCAGGAGGAGAAAGGGAAAAGAAAAGGGAGGAGTAAACAGAAGGGAGGGAAGAAGCAGTGAGGGTAAAGGAGAGGAAAAAGGAGGGGCTAACAGAAGGGAGGGAAGACTGAGGGAGGTGGTGGTCAAAAGCAAAACTCTAGTAATGAGGGAACGGGAGAAAGGAAAAGGAAAGCATAAAGGGGAGGGGGAGATAGGATAGAGAGAAAGACACAGATAGTAATCATAACTGTGAATCATAATATGAAGAATTCTCCCATAAAATGAAAGCAGATAGCAGAGTGGATTAAAATCCATAATCCTACAATATGTTATTTACAAGAAACACATATGAAGCAGAGGGATACACACAGAGTAAAGGCAAAAGGCTAGAGCAGAATATATTATGCTTCAGCAGAAGTAAAAAATGCAGGGGTAAATGATGAAGATGGGATATAGACACCAAAAAGGAAAACCCTGGACTTTCCCACATGGCCAAATCTCTGGCATTCTCCTGAGGCTATAATCCCAACTGGCCTTTCATTGTGGCTCTGCCCAATCTAGGTAACCCTTAAACTAGCCTTGCCCTCCACTTCTTGCCTCCCTATAGCCCCAGGCCACTTCCCACCTTTAACCCTAAATAGGCTCTATTCTCCAGGTCCATTACCTCACATTCCCACCCCCCCACCCCACTCTGGACTACTTGGCCACTCCTAGATTTCTCCCACAGTCTTTCGGTAAATAAGGTTCATCTGGTCTCCATTAAGGTGCTCAGATTCTTAAAATCTAGCCACTGTTCAGATAAAATATGATGTCTTCCTACCATTCCAATCTTCTTATAGTCTATTCCCCTACACAGCTGATATAATCCAGCCATATTGGCTTACTTGCTAAAGGCCATGATATCTCCCATTTCTGTGCCTTTTCACTGGCTGCTGCCCATGCCTAGAATACTCTCCCAACCTCTGACTTTTAGAATCTCTGGATTCCTTTATGACTAAGACTCAGCTCAAGAGTCATCTTCTCCAAGAGCCCTCTCCTGGGCCCCCAGATGCTAGTGCTATCTTCTGTAAGGTTTTCTTCCACCTAATCTATATTTATCTTGTATATTCTGATTTAATATATGTTATCCATCTCCCCCTTTTCTCCCTTCCCCACCCCCCACTCTTTGATGGAATGGAATGTTTTTGCTTTTTCTTTGTATCCTCAATGCTTAGCACAGTACCTGGCACTTAATTTGCTGAATGATTTTCTTTAACACTCATATTCTCCCAGTGATATTACATGGCTGAGAATAACTGAATACCATAATTAGACAGATTCAAAATTGTTAATGTCATAAAATAATCATACCTAAACATTTACGTTTTAAGTTTGTGCTTAATCATACAAATAGTGCACTGCCATTTTTTGATACTTCCAATTTTTCTTATTTGCTTTTTGGTGAGGCAACTGGGGTTAAGTGACTTACCTAGGTCATACAGCTAGTAAATGTCAAGTGTCTGAGGTCTTATTTGAACACAGGTCTTCCTGACTCCAAGGCTGGAGCTCTATCCACTGCACCACCTAGCTGCCCCCCCAATTTTCCAAAAGCCAACAACATTGTGTAGAAAGTTACAATGACTATCTATATAGTCTCTGCCAATAGTAAATTTCTTAACACTGAATCATTTCAAAATGACAGAACCTGTTTCTCAAAAAAGTACCATTTTTAGAATTTTTTTAAAATGCAAAGATAAAAATACCTACCAAGTTTGTTGAATCCTGCAGCACTGTAATACCACTTCCGAAGACTCTGGAGCCATCGGCCTGATGCTGCAGCTGAAATTACCATAATATTTGTTAACATTATTCATCAGAAATACAAAGTTTGATAAGCAAACATTTTACATCATCCTTCAGGTGTTATCTGGTTAGTTGCTTTACCTCTCAGCTCTCTAGAAAGAAAAACTCTGTGTGAGTTACAAAGAAGGTGCTGCTCTGCCTAGGTAGAGTTTATTCATCTTTGAGTTTCCTACCAATACAGCTCCTACTCAAATAGCAATATGATGCTGACTCTCAAGGATCTATGTAAAAGATTGTAAGTGGTAAAGTAGTCAAGTTGAGTTGATAAAAAGTATCTTAAAGCTAAACAAGAAAACACATAGTCGCCACTTACTAATAATGTGATCCTGGACAAGTCTAACCTCTCTGGGTCCCTAGTATCCTTCCTTATCTGTAAAATGAAGTTAACAGTACCTACCCCAAAGGCTTGTTGCGAGGATCAAATGAGTTAACAAAATTGAATTGTTCTGCAAACATTAAAGTGTTCTATAGAGATGAGGAAAATGAGGTCCCAGAAGATTAAAATGATTTGTCCAGGGTCACAAGTCCAGTTCTAGCCACTTCATCTAGTTATCTCATGCAAACCATTATCACTGATTTAAACTGGGCTAATGTAGGCAGTTCTTAATATATAAACATTCTGCTACTTACAAGCAGATCATAAAGATAAAAATAGTCCTGGTAGTGCCTGCATACCCGTCACTGAAACTCCAAATGCCGGGGGTTGGAGGGAACTCGGGGATGGAGCTGACTACAGATGCTTAAAGTGGCAGACCTGATAATTACTATGTGTCAAGTTGGCTAAACTACTACTTATTATTAAGAGGGAGCACAGGTCAGGCATATTGGGAAATGATCCTGATGTTTAAAAAAAAAAGACACCGAAACACTGATAATGGGTCCTTAGTTACCTTGATCTCCATTAGTTTCTACAATCACATGCACTGTTAAAGAAAGAATGGTCCAGATGTAACTGCTCAGTTAAAACAACAACATCAAAACCACTGATAATATTTTAATGGAGTGCTTAGAGAGCCAATTCTGAGGAATAATTCTCAGGTCCTGCTAGCCTAAGTCCAAAGTATTTTCCTTATCACTGCCTAAATGTTTTCTCTTCATTTTATTATACATAATAGCATAGATTTAGAACTGGATGAGAGCTTAGAGACCCTTGGATTCAACTCCCTCATTTTACAGATGAAGAAACTGAGGCACAGAGAGGTTAAGTGACTTGCCCAGGATCACACAGCTAGAAAACGTCTGAGATTTTTTTACACAAGTCTTCCTGACTCCAAGTTAGGCATATGATTCCCCCAAATTCCTCAAATTAGAGATTCGCTTTGGTTAAAAGCATCCTTTTAAAAATGCAAATACCTCTGAGAAGGCTGTTACTATCAATCATACAGACTGCTTTTTAACATTTAGCTGGGATTTGTTCCTCTGGGGAAAGAATTTTGACAAGGTACAGGGAGCGTGAAGCACACAGGGAAATACCCATGTTGGCACCACTGTGGGGGGATTCAGAGCAGCACTGAGGGGCAATGGATACCCAGGGAGAAAACTAGGAGGTTGAGACAGAGCATAGAGAAAGACTTAGCAAATACAAAGCTACAAAGTGCAAAATGTCTATGTCAAAATTTTTGCCTAGGGACCGGCCCAGTAAATAAGAAAGGATATTCTGTTCCAGTACCACATAGCTCCTTGGTCCAGGGTTTAGGGTTGGACAAGGAACCTAACCATATCCTCACAATAGGAAACTACATTCTAAATAACTTACAAATGAAGTTTTGGAATACAACTGACAAATATTTCAATTAAACAAATTAAGTTCCTATGTTCCGAAAGGCACTTCGAAATACCCTTAGAAAACTGAAAAACCATTCCTACTCTCAGGGATCATACATTGTAATGGGAAAAAAGGCAAAGGTATTAGAAAGGATTTTCTAATAATTTCAAGACATTCAAAACAATTCTATGGTGCTTGCTCTACCAAAGGAGGAGAAGGGTAGGTTGGAGGCACAAATTCTAGCTATAAATACTGGTAAAAATAAAATTAAGTTTTGTCATTTAATCACTGGAGATCTGGAATAGAGACTTGGGAAGACAGAAGAGGAGAGCTCTAGCTCTGATATAATCTGATTTCTGTAACCTTGGGCAAGTCCATTTTTGTCTCTAGATCTTGTTTCCTGGTCTATCAAGAGAAGAGACTGGACTAGATGTCCAAAGCCCATTTCAGTTTTAACACTGCTATGATGATTTACAAATGTTATAGTAACACAACTTCCACTAATCAAAAATTTTAAAGATCTGGAGGATAATTTAACTTACTTAAGAATCTTTGAAAGCATTCTGTTTATATGCAAAATGTGCAGTTAATTACAAATGAGTCATCCATTTATTGAAAGTAATTAGAATATATTTGAAAGCAATAAATCTCCATGTCTCTGGAAATATTCCACAACTTAAATATGCTCCTTTAGGCATTTTTAAACATTCAACTGAACCAAAATGTTATTATTTAATAATTATCTAACTTTCTAAACAGATGTTTGGTGAATGAACAAGCACCTACACTGTTAGATTAGCATGGGCCTAGTTTCCCCTAATCTTGTTTTTTCATTTTCTATCAGAAAAGATCATCGAATGCTGGATCTCAGGCCTTTTGACTCCAGATTCAGAGCTCTTCTCACTTGATTCAGTGACATGGTGAGAGGGGGAGGGCGAAAATAGGCAAAGAAAAAATGCTTCTCCGATCCAAAGTTGGTGGGGGGGGAATGAAGAGTCCAAAAGAGAAGTATTAGAGGGGGCTCAAATCTACCCAAGCTATCTTTTTAGATTACCTTAAAGGGGAAGAAGAAAACAGCCACACTATTTCTGTAAGGGCATGTCCTTCGTAGCTGAAGTTCTTCCTCTCCCAATAATTTCAAGACATTTAAAACAATTCTCAGAGTTTTTTCCCTGGCAAAGGAAGGTAGAGGTATGATTCTAGCTAGAAATACTGTAGAAATAAAAGTAACTTTTGTCACTTAATCGCAAGAGATTTGGAACAGAGGAAACTTCCTGTACTTTCAAAGCTGGAAGATGAGAGTTCTGGCTCTGACACTGCTACCTATGTAACCTTGGACAGGTTCCTTTTTGTCTCTGGATCTCAGCTTCCTGGTCTATCACCTCTTGAGATGTCTGATTCAAGATGTCGTATGAGACCCATGTATTTTTTGGACGTGGACGAATTTATTGGCTACATAGGTCTATTTGACCCAAGAGATTTTCTTCTTTTAAATTGCTAGAAATGAGACAGGGCGGAAAGTAAATGCTTTCTAGTTGAGGAATAAAATGGAAATTTTAAAAGTTCTGCCTCTCTACAAGCCCTCTCTGCACTAGAGTCCAGTTCCTTCAAAGATTGATTCAGGTGCAGGACGAAAAAAAGGCAGAGGTGAGGTAAATGCAATTCTTTCATAGAATGCGGTTATTTCAAAATAGCTAGTATTTGTGTGGCGCCTTAAGGCTTGCAAAGCGCTTGGAGAAGTAACTGCTACGCACATAAAAAATACGCAAAGCGCTTTTCATACCTCCGCACGCTTACTTGACTCTCCCGGTGGGACAGGCTCTATTATTACCAAAATTTTACCGACAGAAAAACGGACTTTCCCAGCACCACCAGCCCATCCAGCCCCGTGACAGCCGGGGAGCCTCCGCCTAGGCCTCGGCAGAGCCCCGACTCCCACCCCAGGTCACCTTGGGCCCGGTCACTCCAGACGGAGCCTCTGCGGAGACGCTCCCTCGAGGCTGGGGCCTCCCACCTCCCTGCCTCCCGCTCCAGATGGCTGAAGGAGCTGCGGGAAGGCTGGAAGGCGCCCGGAGCAAAGTCCGCCCCACCTAGATTTCAGGCGCCCCGATTACTTACCAGGCACCCGCGTCGCCATCTTGATCTGCAGAGACAGGCGCTTTGCCTGCTGGCTAAGTCCTAGAGGACACTAGGAATCACGTGGAAAGGAAGTCCGGCCTCAGCAGGCGAGGGGCGGGGCGGGGCGCCAGAGCAAAGGCCAGGGAGTTGCTTCTGCGCAGGCGCCCTTCGGCTTTCACCTTTCAACGGGTAGCATTCTACCCACTTGACATTGAGTATTCCTTTGACTATTGGCTTGGCCCCTTATCTCTTCCAGCCTAACACATACGCCATTTTTTTAAGGTCCCTAAACACAGATTAGTATCTTGAAAACACTTTTATTGTTGTTATTGCTATTCAGTCGTGCCCAACTCTTCAGGATCCCTTTTGGGGTTTCCTTGGCAAAGCTACCGGAGCGGTTTGCCATTTTCTCCTCCAGCTCACTTTTACAGAGCAAATTGATGGTTAAATGATGATCACACAGCTAGTATATCTCTGGGGCTAGATTTGAACTCAGGTGTTCTAGACCTACTTTATTTATACATTGGTTTATAACAGGTGCAACGTCAACAAATTATCAAAGTCCCTTTCTGCTCTTGGACTCTAGGAAGGGTAAGGAATTACTAGGAACATAGAATGGGGAGGGGGGGGCGGATTTAGGGAAAGGCTGTTGCTAATGCTTACCAGACAGTGATTGTTAAACTTTCAATGTGGGTATTTACATTTCATATATCAGGCAAACCCTACAAGTTAGGAATCAACTTATTGTTTTGTTGACTTCTAGGCTAAGAAAAGTGATGGAGAAAAAATGTTAATAATTCAGATAAAATTTAAGTGTGTGCATAGAATAGCCAGTTGTTGAACATCTACCAGCACACCACTGGTTGGAAGGGACATCCATCTGATGCAATATGTCGGAACTTGAAATACTACTTTGAAAAGGTTGACCACCTCTGCCTACTTAAAAGAAAAAAAGAAAGGAAAATGTAAATTTTTTTTTTAAGAAAAAGAAGACTTGTTTCTTTCCTTTGAATGCACTTACAATCTTGTTGAGGAATCATAAACAGGTGAACAGGAATCTCCCCCTACAAGTCAGACAAGTATTCATCCAGCCTTTGCTTGAAGACTTTCAGACAGGGGATATTTTCCAAGGCAGCCATCCCATTCCACTTTTGGATAGCTCTAATTTTTGGTAAATTCTTCCTTAAAAATAAATTTAGGCAGGCCCATGCTTATAATCCCTGGTACTGGGGCGGAGGCTGAGCCTAGTGGATCCTGAGCTGGGGAGTTCTGAGCTACAGTAGAGCTAAAAGCTGATCACTGACCACACTAAGTCAAGCACCAATACTATGAGCCCCAGAAAGTTAGGGGCCACCAGGATGCCAAAGGAGGGCAAAATTGGCCCAATTTGGAAATAAGCAGGTTAAAACTTCCATACCAACTGGCCCATGAACGGCCCTACTGCAGTTCCAGCCTGGGTGAGAGAGGGAGACAGTTTCAAAAAATACAAGCAAACAAATAAAACAAGTTTAAATCTGCCTTTCTATAACTTTCACCCTTGTTCCTAGTTCTGCCGTCAACGACCAAGCAGCACAAGTCTGGTCGCTCCCATGTGTGACAACTGTTCAAAATCCTTGAAGACAGCTACCTATGGTCTCCTGTTCTCTTGTCCAGCTGCTTTAACAGACTCTCATAGGGTTTGGTCGGGTTGGGGAGGCTACTCATCTTAGTCTGCTGTTTCTCTGCAGTATCTTGTCAGTGTTCTTCCCAAAATGTGGCACACAGAACTGAATGAAATACCAGATATAGGCAGCCTGGTACAAGAGAAAAACCTTGGATACCGAAGTCACAAAACTTTAATTCCAATCCTGTTCCCACCAATTACTGAAATTCAAAGGGATTCTGACAAGTGAAAATCAAAAAATTTCCACTTCTCAGAAGCAAAACAGGCTAATATGAGGATGGGGAATACATGAGAGCTGAAGGCTTCCACTTAAATTCTATTTTAAAAATTTTCTATTGATACCTTTACTTTTTATAGCTCCTACATTTCCCTCTGTGTCTATCCTCCCAGCAAGCCACCTCTAGTAACAAAGAAAAAAAAAAGATGCGAGGAAAAAAAAATTCAGCAAAACCAATCAACATACTGGGGAAAAAAAAAAGGCTTTATTAGCAATGTTCCATACTTGTGTACCTCCACTTCTTCAAAGCAACAGGGGTATCTTCTCACATCTCTTTTTTTGGGGGGGCCAAAGTGTCTTCATTATATTTTGCAACATTCAGTTTCAACTGGCTTGTGGTTGTCCTATTTACATTACTGTAGAAATTCTGTATATTGTTTTCTTGGTTCTGCCTACTTCACTTTGCAACAGCTCATGTAAGTCCATGCTTCCCTGTATTCATCGCAAATTCAACATTTCAAAACAATTAAATTCTTTTTGGAAGCCCTGGATCAAGATTTTCTTTGCACTTGGCCAGGAGGTCTTATACAAGTAGAAAGAGAAGTTGAACTCTACTTCATTTAAAAAAAAAATGAGGTTGTTCACCAAGAACTCCTTGTCTCCTCTCCTCATCTCATGTCTCTGGTATCTTTTCATACTCATCTCCTCCTACTTCACTCCAGTCTCTTGACAAAATAGCCATTATACTTGCCGACCTCTCTACATTCATCCTTGATTCCACTCCTCCCCATCTTCTCCAGTAGGCTGCTCCACCATCACCTCTAATCTTCTCTCTCTTCCTATCATCTGGTTCCTTTTCTGCTTCCTGTAAATCCACATTTCTCCCATCCTTAAAAAACTTTCACTAGCTCCTAACTTTACTTTCTTTCTCAGCTAAACTCCTTAAGACATCTATGTCACTTCAGCTTCTCTTACCCTTTTAAACCCTCTACAACCTAGTTTCCAACTTCATCATTCAACTGAAATTGCTGTCTCCAGGTTTACCAAAGCTATCTTAATTGAGAAGTTTAACAGCATTTTCTCAATCCTCATACTTCTTGAGATTTCCAAAATACCTGAAATTGCTGACTACAACTTCTCCTCTTAGGTATTCTCCCCTCTGAATTTCTCTGGCTGTGATTACTTTCTCTTAGTGTCATCTGACCACTGCTTCTCAGTCTCTTTTGCTGGATCTTCATCCATGTCATGCCCTCTAACCTTGGCTGTCCCCAAGGATTTGTCATAAGTGAACCATCTTCTCTCTTCTTTCTATGCTCTCTTACTAGGTAATCTCATCAGTGGTTTCAATGATCATTTCTATGCAAATGACTCCTAGAGCTTTCTATGTAGCCCTAGTGTCTCCGGAGCTCCTGTGCTGTACCAACAATTATCTGTTGGACATTTTGAACCAGATGGTATCTTATACTCATCATGTACCAAAAGAGAACTTTTCTCAGAAAACCTCTTCTGAACTTTCCTGTCACTGTTGATGGCACTGCCATCCTTCCAATCACCCAGGTTCCCAACGTCAGTGTCATCCCTGATTCTTCTCTCTCACTTACTTCACATATCCAAGTCAGTGGCCAAATACTGGTATTTCTTTCTCTACAACATCTCCGGTATTTCTGAGTATCCCTAGTGTTTGTCCACAGTAAGCACTTAATAAATTCGTATTAATTGGTTGACTGAAAAGCCTTAAAAACCAAAAGATTGGGCCTTGAAACTTAGGTATTACGAATAAACGTAGTGATCTATATTTATAGATCTCTTTGAAACCACATAAACTCTTTGAATTTCTATTTCTTTATTTATAAAACTGACATATCTTGCACTACCTAATACTCATAGCACCACAGATACAAAGAAAGTCAAAAGATAGTCAGTCCTTGCTCTTCAGGGGTTCACAGTCTAGTGAGAGAGATAATGCAAACAACTATGTACAAATGAAATATATACAGGATAAATTACAGATAATCAGCTTAGGGAAGGCAGTAGCATTTATGGGGGATTGGCAAAGGCTTCTTGCAATAAGTGGAATTTTGGCTGGGACATGAAAGAAGCCAAGGTTCCCCAAATGATAAATGATCAAAGGATATGAACAAGTAGTTTTCAGAGGAAAAAATTAAAGCTCTCTAGAGTCATGTGAAAAAATGCTCTAAATCACTATTGATTAGAGAAATGCAAATCAAAACAACTCTGAGGTTCCACATCACCCTATCAGACTGGCTAACATGACAAAACAGGAAAATGATAAATGTTGAGAAGATGTGGGAAAACTGGAACATTAATGCATTGTTGATGGAGTTGTGAACTGATCCAACCGTTCTGGGGAGCAATTTGAAATTTGCCCCAAAACTGTGCATACTCTTTGACCCAGCAATACCACTTCTAGGTCTATATCCCAAAGAGATCATAAAAACGGGAAAAGGACCTATATGTACAAAAATATTCATAGCAGCTCTTTTTGTGGTGGCAAAGAATTGGAAATTGAAGGGATGTCCATCAACTGGGGAATGGCTGAACAAGTTGTGGTATATGAATGTAATGGAATGCTACTGTGCTATAAGAAATGATGAGCAGGAAGATTTCAGAAAAACCAGGAAAGACTTATATGAACTGATGCTGAGTGAAATGAGCAGAACCAGGAGAACACTGAACACAGAAACAGCCACACTGTGTGATGACTGACTTTGATAAACTTAGCTCTTGTCAGCAATGCAAGGATCTAAGACATCTCCAAAAGCCTCATGATAGAAAATGCTATCCACATCCAGAGAAAGAACTTTGGAGTCTGAATGCAGATAGAGGCATACTATTTGCTCTCCTTTGTTTTGTTTTGTCTCTTCTTTCTTATGGTTCCTCCCATTAGTTCTAATTCTTCTTTACATCATGACTAATGTGAAATTATGAATGTATAAGTAGAGCCTATATCAGATGGCATGCCATCTTGGGGAGGGGGACAGAAGGGGAGAGGGAGAAAATTTAAACCTCAAAATCTTATGGAAGTGAATGCTGAAAACTAAAAATAAATGAATTCTTTAAAAAAAGAAGTGAAGGAATCCAAGAGATGAGAACATTCCAAGAATGGCAGACAGCCAGTGAAAATGCCCAGAGTTGGGAAATAAAGTGTCTTGTGTGAGGAACAGCAAAGAGGCCAGTGTCACTGGATTACAGAGTACATCTAGA